CTTAGTGGCTTCCTGAGCTGCCTCTGTGTTGTCCAGCAAGTCAATACACGGCAGTCTAAATCTAACATTTCCCACGTATTTCTCAACCTGTCCCCCAGCATTCTGACTTCTAGTTTTATGACATACAGTGTCCGCCCGCCCGTGATAATAGGTCCAAGGGAGGCCATGCTCTGCCAGTGCCTGACTGAGATGAAGTATAGGCCTCTGATATTGAAGGGTCACTAGAACCAAGAGACCATCACAAGCTGGATTCGCTGTACTAGATGAAAAAGGGCAGAGATTTAATAGACCCTGGAAAGGCATTCAGTTCACTAAGTTCCTGCCTTATTCCAAAAGGGATCAAGGGTGGTGTATGTTTTTAGGACCCTTGGTTGCAAATAACAGAAAAGACACCAGAATAAGCTTAAGCAAAAAAGGTGACAATAAAAGGAAGCAGAATGTCCATGGAACTTGAAGGCACAGATGAGTTGAGGGTTTGGTGTCTCAGTGGAAGCAGTGATGGAAGGCGAGGTATTCCAGGTGCCCATGGTCTCCATCCTTCATCCCTGCTGCTCTTTGCCCATTGGTTTGCTTCATGTTCTTTCCTGTTGCAGGCTGGCTGTCTCTGTTATTCCCAGAAACAGGCCCCTGCTATCCTCTCTGTGGTTAGGGGGCAAGGGTCAGCTATGTAAACATCGCTATTCCTGCTACCACTTAGTCTGTGTGGGGAGTAGGGGCTGTCCTGGAAAAGGAGGGAGGACTGGGCTGGCCATTCAGGATGTGTCCATTACATCCACTCCTGGCCGTCACAGGCGCACACACACACACACCCCATCACCACACACAAGCATCACACACACCACCCTCAGAGCCAGACTTGCCCTCGGCCACTGTGTTTCAGGGATGCCTGGATATGCACAGCCCACTTTGGTCATGCAGAACAACAAAGAGTCAAGGTCTCTGCTGAAGGGACCCAGTCCCCAGACACTCCTGCTTCTCCCGGCAGAGGTGAGGGGGGTGGTTCCTCTGAAGGGAGTGGACAGTCCCACTGCCAGCTGCCCTGGGAAGTGGCTAATATGGGGCGGGAGGACGTGGGTCCCACCCTGTGGGATGCATGGTCCTGGTACCGACACTGCTGTCATTTCTGTCAGGCTTTGGTATAAAGTGTTGGCGCAGATGCTCACCAGGGCGCAGAACACAGCTCCCTAAAACAGCAACTGGCTGCATCCCACCAGGAAGAGACAATTGGGCCTTCTTGGAGTTTACTGGGTGCCACAGGGCATGTAATGAAATAATGACTGCAGGCCCACACAGAGGACTGGAAATTCATGGTTTAGGCAGTTGTAGTGTGTCTGATAGTAAGAAATAACGACCTGGTTTCAGATTCCTCTTCTGGGCCCCTAGAGAGCAGGGACACAGCAGCCCAGCATTGTCCCTGGTGGATTTGCATTTCCCTGTTTGCAGTGACAAGAGTCCTTTTCCTCACAGTGGTCTGGGGGGTGGGCAAGAGGGTGAACGCTGGGGTCAGCTCCCAGGGGGTGAATCCCAAGTCCACCACTTAGTTCCTGTGAGAATTTGGGGACAACACTTACTATCTCTCTGCCTCCATTTATCTGTGACATGAGGATGATAGTGGTACCTGTTGTCATAGGGTTTGTGATGGTAAGTTTATGTCAGCTGGACTAGGCCACAGGGGCTGGATAGTGGGTCAAACATTTTCCGAGGTTTTTGTGTTCTTAGATGTTCATTTCATCTAAGAACACCAAATGCGTAATGTTGACTTTAGTAGCATTGGAATGAGCAGTGTGGATTGCCCTCCACAGTGTGACCAGCCCCCTGTAATCATCTGCAGGCTGGAATAGAACGAAACACTGACATCCCCTGAGCTTCAGGGCATTTTGTCAGTCAACAGCTGCGGCAGCTCTGCCCTGGGTCTCCAGTCTGCAAGCCCACCCTGCAGATGTTGGACTTGCCAGCCTTCATAATCGTGTGAGCCAATGCCTTAAACCAAATCTCCCTCTATGGATATGCACATCCTATTGGCTGTGTTTCTCTGGAGAACTCTGACTAATGCAGACTTGTCATTAAGGTTAAATGATTTATACATGCAGTACGTATGGAATAGAACAGGGATGGGTTGTCACATTAGCAGACTGTAACCTCAGTGTTTGCTCCTGTCGGGGTTCAGCTTCACGGATGCCTGTGTTCTCTTGCTCTTTGAACACATCCCGGGGCTACAGAAATTGTCCTCCTACCCTCAGCCATGGTTGAGGGCAGTTTGGGTTGCCCCAAAAGTCAGGCACTTCTTTGTCATCAATAATGGACCAGGACAGGGCTGAAGCAGGTCTGACCTGGCACAGCTTGGGATGTGGTTTGTTGCCTTTGTGCGGAAAGAATTCCAGACAGTAGTTCAGGTGATTTTGAGGTTATGTTTAGTAAAGCTTGGGACAGTGAAACAAAGGAAGGACTTAAGATAGAAGCTCAAACACAGTAACAGCAGTGAGTCCAGACTGGGCCACCTAGACTCAGGAAAGGAAGTCAGGGTAACAGTGTGGAGCCCAGGTGGGGCTGCTTTGGCTCCCTGAAAATTAGGCATGAGGAGATTTTCTGAGCTTTGGAGAAAGAATGTAAAATTGTGCTCCTGAGGAAAGGTGGTGGAGGGGGAAGAGTACACACTGGGTCTTTAGTCTTGAGGGTATTTATCTGTTTTCTGCAGGTGGGAATTTTAGGGGAGGTCTCAATGAGAACATTCATCATCTTCCCAGGTGTGTCCTGTAATATCCTGATGCACCAAAGTGAGGTATAGTGGGGTGTGGGGTCATCCTATGCTCAGCTTTACTTCTATCTTGGATTTGTCTGGATCTGACTGGGATTTTTTTTTTATTCCTCTGACTTTATTCATTTTGAGGTTTGACTGGCACTAATGACACAAACTGGGTCTCTGCTATCTCTCTGCCTGACTAGGGTGATTTAAGCTACCCACTATCTAGTTGGGGAGGGGAGATGTGAACCACCTGCTTCCTAGTGGCTTTGGTTAGGCAGGGTAGGGACTTATGATTTCTTATCTGGCTTTAATTGCTCAGCTGTTCATTTAACTGCTTTCTCTCTGTTTCCCTCATTCCACTGTCGAGGAGTTTTTCTAGCTTCTCACTGACCTGCCTTACTCAGAGGTGGCGTGGCAGGAAGGGGAGGCTGACCCAGACACCCTGCCTGCCATGACCCTGTGAACCTGTGGCCCCGACAACCATCACAGCCCCAGCTGGGAGTTAAAACTTGGAGGACAGTGTCTGGGACAGGCCTCGAGCAACCAGACCCCACCATTAGCTTCCTGTGGAGAAGAGCAGAGCTTCTTTAGGAGGATCTGGATTTGCCCTTGAGAATGAAATAAACTAGAATGTATACATGGGCTCTGTCCTGTGCAATGTGATGCCCATTGCAAGGCAAATAGGTTTGTCCTGAGAATGTTCTTCCATGCTTCTCATGCACTTACAGGAGGGCTCTGGCTGTTTGGTGAAGAAACAAGCTCTGTGACATACTGGCATATCTTTTGTCTCTTAATAACATGAGAACTTCAAATTCAGAATGCAGTCATATTCCTGCCACATGCAGCAGAAAACTGCCCACAGGGCAGCTGGTCTGGTTTACATTTAAATAGCAATTCATTGTGCTGCTTCCTTGTCCTTAAAGGAGGAGCACCAGAGTCCTGGGTGCAGAGTCCTTGTGATATTTCTGCTTCTGCACAGGCTCATCCTACCTGGGACCAGAAAGCAGCCACAGCTCCCTGAATCTCAGGAAAAGAACATTCTTTTCAAGTACAGGTGTCCCGCTAAACCCCACATTCATTAGCAGACATCTCCGAGACTCAGATCCAAAGTTCAGGAGCTCCCTCAGTCCGAGGAAGGTCCGGAGAGTCGGCTAAATGTGTGGAACATGTGAGCATGTGGCCTGAGCAATGTATCAGAGTCTACGAGGTGGCTCCAGTGCCTGTGTTCATGAAGCTGTCAGGACAGCTGTGACAGGGGTTGTCTTTTCCCTTCTTTAATGTTATTAATATTTTTTGATGTCTGTGCCCTAACCCCTTCTGATTTCTCTCTTGGAATAGTTGTGGAGCATTGGGATATGCTGACCTCTGCACCCACCCGGTGAGAAGGGAAACCGAAAGATTATGCCTACAGCTCATTACATACTCTGCTGGAGCCAAACACTGATCTGACCTCATACATGTATATCATTTAACCCTCACAACAAGCATCACAGTTGGGGAGGCCATAGAATGGACACCTTTGGTTGTGTGGTGGAGGGTAAGGAGAGTGGGTGAGGCCCAGGTAGATGGCAGGAGAAGTGAATCTGAGGGAGGAGGGGGACTAAGTGGAGAGGAAGGGACGACAAACTTGGGCTGCTGTGTATTGCTATGGGGTAAACTGAGTGGAGCTTTGCTCTCATCATTTGAGAAAGACATTGGTGCAAATGACCCAACACCAACGGGTTTAATTCTAAGATTACTGATTCACTGGGGCCAAAGGGGATGGCCTACTAATGAGGGAATTATTACTTGGGTGGGTCTTTGAATTCCATGAACAGTATAGTGGCCAGGAAGGGAATTAAAGGATATATTTGGGGAATGTCCTTTATCATTTACTTATTCATAAACCCTCACTTAACACCCACTGTGTACCAGGAACTGCCCTAGGCACTGGCAATAACCTGCTTAGACATGGCTCCTGTCCTCAGGATGCTTACCATCTAGTGTGGAGGGACCAGGAGAAAAGCAGTCGGGACAATGCCATGTGCTGACTGTTCTGATGGGATGGGGGACACAGGGTGCTCCGGGAGCACTCGACAGAGGTGCCTAAGCCAGCTGCAAGGACATGGAATCACTGTGCACAGCAGAAGTCATTAAAGTGAGGCCTAGACCCCATTCCCCCTGCAGCCTCCTTCACTCTCTCCTGGCTCTAGGAATCCAGCTAAACTTCAACAACCACAAAGCACAACTTGAACTAACAGAAAAACCAAGCTCAATGTTGACAAGTAAAAAATATATCTGTTTTTGTCTCTATTTACAAGCTATTAAAACCGCCAAAACGTCCATTCCCCTGGTGTCTCCAGCAGAGGTACCAGCTCCATTTTCTCCTCAATTCTCCCTGCATCTGGGTGGTACGAGAGGGCTCTCAGCCTGGCTGTGGTGGCCACTGGAGGGGGAGCATGGGTGAGGCTTCTACAAGGTTTGCAGGTGTCCTGCCAGCTGCACATGCACATTCCTGAGATGCTGCCATCCCACCTGGACCTCTGGTCTATGGAAACCAAGGGAGGCAGTCTGGGTGGCCATGGGGAGATCTTGGACATGGACATGTAATGCCCAGCAAAGGCATCACCGACGTTCCATAACTTGATAATAGAAGGCAGGTCAGAGGCCTATTTGTTTAGAGGCGAGGAAATGGAGACCCAAAAAGCGGCCAAGGGAGTCAGGACTCACAGTCAGGTGAGGAGCCCCCTAGTCACCTTCTTGGCCCTACTTCTTCTGGAGTTCCTTAATTAGGTGAGGATGGATATCCTCTAGTGCTTGGTAGAGTTGATCTTTGCATGCCTTGTCCCAGGAGTTCCTGAAGTTGAACAGCGTCCTCATCTTGTGTATATTGGTGGGCTTAGCCTGCACCTCCTGATACTGCTCATCGCTCAGCACCTGTCCATGTAGCCTGTCCAGGACTGATTCCACCGAAGTCACTCGAGTGATCAGCTGCTTCCAATGCTGGTCCACAAAGTGCAGCTGAGCTGGGACATCTGGGGGTGAAGGTGAGGTTGGCAACAAATAAAGAAGAGCTTCTACTACAGCCTCTACTTTTGATACCTCACCTCTAACCCTGCACTCACCTTCTCTGCCTCCCTGGGTGCTCCCACCCTGTGAAAACATGGATCACCAGACACGTGGTCCATCCTCTGCCCCCCTCATGTCAGCTTCCAGCCCAGCCTTCTACTGGAGCTGGGTGTGGGGTTGGGTTCATGATGGAGGCATTTCAGGTTGTTCTTTGGAAGGTGCCAGGATCTCTAAGGGCAAGATTATGGACAAGAAAGGATTTCTGTCCAGAGACACACTCCACTCTCCAAGGCCATATCCCTGGAAAAGTTTGCAAAGGATCCCTTTCTTTCTCTTCTCCCCCCACTCCAGGAGCAGAGAGCACACCCCAGACCAGCCATGGCTCCTGTGGTCTCCAACAGCTGCTACTGACCTGTATGGTGTGCAGGGACCAGAGAAGTTTCAGGTCTGAGGTCTCCTGGAGGAAAACAGACAGGAAGAAGCTACTGTAACAGTGGTAGTCATTAACACAAACAGGAAGCCTTTAAACTGCGACATGTGTATCACTGCTGAGACCTTTGGATTCTGAGAACAAGGTACAGACTCATTCTAACAGAATTTAGAGAAAGGGTTGCAGGTGAATCCATTGGTCAGGCATATGGAGAAACTGAGGCCCAGAGGCCATGATAAGAGAGATAGAGAAAGAGAGAGGGAGGGAATAATTTCTACCTGAACACTGCAGACATATTTTACTTTAATGTTAGCCTGAATGGAACCCTGGGGGTGGAATAACCGAGTCCTTGGTAGATAGTTTCAACTGTGAGATCTCATTTTCTGAGTGGAAGTCAACCTCCTTGTTCCAGTTTGGCCTTCTAGACTTATACTGTTTTTCTTTTTCTTTTTCTTTTTTTTATTGTTCAATTACAGTTGTCCTCATTTCCCCCCAATTACTCTCCTTTGATCTACCCACTAGGGGTTTACTTTGCACTGTATATTTTGGATTTGAAGTCAGAATCAAGAATCAATATGAAGAAAATCTTAGCGCTGGGAGTAATGTGTCAATTTCAATTGGAAAAACAAACAACAGTAACCAGGAGTGAACGTGTTACAATTACGTGCAAAGAAAAAGAAGAAGTGAAGGGCATTACAATTACTTGCATAAGGAGAAGATGCGTAAGTCCACAGCAGCTCCTGTGGACACCACCTGGGAGTTTGGTCCACCCAAGCTCAGTGTGAGTGGACAGTGTGGGAGGTGGGCTCAAGCACAGGGGAGCTCCTGCTTGGTGCTGGGAGCACCAGGTCCCTGTGGATGGAGGGAGGGGGAGTTCCACATCCTCCATGCTGACTGGATGGTCTTAGGGTCCATTGAGATTCATCCTCAAATGGGCACATCTGCTGAGCAAGGTGACTGGGATGGCAAAGTTTTAAAAAAATAAACCATAAGAGGAATGATGGAAGGGACTAGAGGTGTTTAACTTGTATAGTAGGAGACTTAAGGGAGGCCAGGATCAGGCTACAGGTATCTGACAGGCTTTCCTCTGGGGATGGAGATAGAGCCTCTGTCAGCTATATGGGCCAGAATTAAATTTGAAGGGAAGAAGAGACTGGATTAGTGTGAGAGAAAATAACAATATTGCTATGTTTATGAAGGACTGCTGTATGAGATAACACACTCAATACATCAGTAGTTTAATTTTTTTTGCAATAATACAAGTTAGGTATTATGGTCTTCATTTTATAAACGAGGAACTGGAGACTCAAATCAGTTAAGTAATTTCCCAAAATCACCCAGCAAGTAAGTGCCAGAGTGGAATTCAAACCGAGGTCTGACTCTGGGGCTGGTGATTGTGCCCAGCTGAGCTTGAGTAAAACCCGTTCCCTTTCTCTACACAGGGAAGCTGTTGTCTCAGCTCAGGAGGCAGATACAACTTATTTCAACAATAGAAAAGTGTTAGCTGTACTTTAAGGCAATGATTAGGGGACATTCTTGGGGGAGTCAGTACTCATTTAAAGATTGTAAGGTGTGATTCACTTCTGAAAATTTGTTATTTAAAAATTGTCTACCATGAAGAAAGCTTAAGGACCCAGGGTAGAGTTTCTACTCTTGCCAAAATTGGCTTAATTCATACAATCATATTATCATCCCATTCTCATTCTTTCAACTCACACCCAGTCCATTATGAGAAAATTTGCCCAAGGCTTTTTGGATAACAAACTGTGTTAACACAGGGCAGTGTGGAGACATGAAGGTGCATGGGAGGGGGAATGGAGTTCAGAGTCAGATTATCTTCAGTTTAAATTCTGGCCATGCAGCTGTTACGTAACTAGAAATTTTAAATTCCCTGGGCTATTCTAATCAGCAAGTTAAAATAATATAAACTCTCTCTCTCTCTCTCTCTCTCTCTCTCTCTCTCTCTCTCTCACACACACACACACACACACACACACACATTCTGTAACTGACTTTCTGAGCTCCCTACACTTGTCTTGACTTTACCTGGCTTCACCAAGGCCTCCCACACCAGAGTTCCTTCTTCCTTGTGTCTTAGGTACAGCCTGATACTTGATCTGAAATGGCCAACGTGTAACTCAGAGAAGAGCTGGGCTTCCCCAGGGTTCCGATAGCAGAGCTCCAGTTCCTGTGGAAGGATTCATCATGTGAGAAGCCACCATTCATCCTGCAAGTGAGGTCTCTCCCCACCTGACAGCTTTTTGGCCCTGTTCAGCCCCATGGGCACCCTTGGATGATCTGTACTGAAATTAATCACCACTTCAGGCTTTGCTCTTTTCCTCCTTTTCCACAAATTCTGACCCAGAAGAAAAAGGACTCAGCTGGGTGCCCCATTGATGAGTCAGGACTCATCCACAGTGTAGTGCTCACACATCCCAAACCAGATCCTTCTACCCCTCCTCCCCCATCTTGACCCAAATTCTCATTTCTCCAGCCCACAGCCTGCCTTCTCAGTGGATCTTAAGTTTGACCCACTTTCAAGCAAGAGAAAATTTACATCCATCCCCTTTTTTTAAATCACATTCACACAAACTTTGGATTCCCAAATGTGTTTCTAACATGCTCCCTGCCCATTTCTCACACTCAGTAAATGACACTACCAGCCACTGAGCACTCATGACCAGATTTAGGCATCATTCTTACCTCCTACTTTTCTCTCCCATCACCAAGTCCTGTTGGCTCTCCTTGCAACATGTCCCTGAGTCCATGAACTTACCTTCATCTGCACTGCTGCCTCCCTAGTCAAGCCTCCATCAGCTGCTGCCTGCCCTATACCAATAGCCTTTTGACTTGTCTTTCTGTTTTCACTCCTAACTTCTTATCACTCATTCTTACCCAGCAGCCAGAGGCATCTGCATGAAACTAAATCAGCTCTCATATCACAAGTCAGACCCTGTAAGACACTGTCATTGCACTTGGAACAAAATCTAAACTCCACACCAGGGCAACATGGCCAATAGGTCCCAGGAGACCTCTGTCTGTTGTGTGACCACATCCACCTCCTCTCTTTGCTGCAGTCATTGAGCTCTGCCACACTGACCTCCAATTTGTCACATGGAGGTATCAAGGGTGCCTGCTCCTCTCTGTTGCTGTAGGACTCTCTGTCACAGATGTACCCCTGCCAGACTCCTTCTTGTCACTCAGGTCTCAGCTCAGATGGGGCCTCCTCAGAGAAACCTCCACAGACTACCCACATGGCCTGGTGTGTTTCCCACAGTGTTTTATGGTTTTTGGCCACTATTTCTTTAATTATTTGTGTAAGTCTCAACCCACCATGGTGTCATCATCCCAAGGGCAGGGCCTTCTCTTTCTTGTTCAGTGACCGTCCCAACTGCAGCCAGCACGTAGTTGGCAGAGGGTAAACGTTTGTTGAATGACTGAGTCATGTCTCTCCTCCCTTGTTAACAACCAACACAGCAGGAAACTGTAGGGTATTCATCCTTGGATTCATGTGTCCCCACTGGAAGGACACACATTACTCCCTCCTGACCACTGCACATCCACTCCATCTGCCATCCCCACTTAGGAGAGTTTGAGGACTCGTCTGAGAACATAAGGGAAAGAGGATTGACACTGGTTCCACTGCAGACTGTCCTTCAGTGGACGCTCTGACCCTGAGCAGCATAGTCTGGGCTGCAGTGAAAATGGGGTTATCACAGCTGAGTGTCCAGTGTCCAGACGGCCTCTGCCTCTGGTGAGAAGGGGAGACCAAGAGAAGACAAAGGCAGCCCCTCAGGTCCAGGAGCTGGTCTGATGCTCACAGCTGGACCTCAGTGTTGTTACAAATGCATCTGTGCTGCCACCTCAGCTGTGCTGTCCTCCTGCTGGACACACACAATCTCCGAGCGTCCCTTTCAGACAAGGTGCCATGCAACCCACAAATGCCAAACACCATCCCACCCCTCTGCACTTGTGACTGCTGCTTCATAAATTATGGTTTGTGCTGGCTGAGTCTGCCCTCCCCAGAGACAAAGTCACTGAGGCTCCCAATGACCGTATTTCCCTGCCCTCTGACAGCAGCAGATTGAGAGCAAACCTCCATTTCCTTGGATCTTCTCCCAGGTTACCCAGCCACGTCCCAAATCAGAAATAGGTTCTTTCTGAGACCCTGTCCTGAGAAGCCCACGGTTCCCATTGATGTGTGTTCTCAGGCTGCAATGAGAATGGACCTGGTTTGTTCACTATGGGTGTGTTCCTGGTGCTTGTACTTGAAGAGCATTGACTCTCTGGAGCCCAACCCTTCTCAGTCCCCCTAAGTCCACCCTGTTCTTGTCCCTGTCCTGAATGTGACCCTCACTCCTACCAGCTGTCTTTCTCCCAATCTTTGAAGCCTTCCCCCTCACCCCAAACCCTACTTGCTGTCAGCTGTACCCTAAGTGGGCCTGTCCCAGAGCTATTCCCAAGCATGGCCTCAGGCCTCAGAGAGGGGGAACATTGGGGCTGCTCACCTGAGGGATTACTTCCATCTCCTGTGAACCAGACACAGTGTATCGGGAACCCATGTAGACCGGTGTCATTGGGGGTGGCTTATGTATTCGCACAAACTGGAAGGTGTTTTCTTCATCATCTATGGCCTAAGGAGCACAGAGAACACTGATCAGAGAGGATGGTCTGGATCTGGCTCAGAGATTCTGCCCTGTGGAATCCTGTCCGAGCGAAGTGAGGTGGTGCTTCCACAAGTTTCTGTGTACAGAGGAGGCTATACCTTCCATGGCATATTCATGCCCTACTTATCAGCACCCCCTCCCCTGACTGCTAATGGAGAAGCCCATAGTTTGCTTCTGCCATGTGCAGGGCCCGATTATGGCAAGGCTAGAAAAGAAGTGAGGATAGAGGAAGGAACAGTTCTGGGTATGGAACCTTCCCATCCTCTGACCCTGGAGAGAGGCTGATGAAGTGTGAGTGACGACTGATGAGTGATTTGTCTATGGTGAGTGAGGGAGCAGTGAACCTGGCTGAGGGAGGTCTTAGGGGCCCAGGAGACCAGTCCATGGCTAAGGAGGGGCAGGATTACTTATCTCTTTAAATTTTCCTGCTCTTCAGAGGTTAATCCTTATGCCCAGCTGACCCATCTAGGGAGGCTGTGTGGGTGCCTGCCATGTCTCTGTCAGCCCACCCTGGCCTGGCCTTTCTGGTTTGCCACCTTGCGAATGGAGCAGTCATTGGGAATCAGGTAGAGGTGGAAGATCACTTCCCCATGCTGGAGGTGATGGTAGAGCAGTACATTGGAGGTGATGGGAATGGGCAGGACAGCATGGATAATTCTCAGTAGAACTCCGATGGGGGAGAAGCTGGGGTTCTCCAGGACTGCGTAGTGGGGCTCCACCCTGGATGGCTTTTCCAGGACTATCCCCTCCTCTTTCATGTGGGCCACTTGGAACCAGGACATGTCCATATTTTCTCCTGAAAAGAATGAATTCAAGAAACAAGGATTTAATGCCCTCATGGAGTCAGGCTTGGCAGGGGAAGGTGCAGGCTCATTGACCTCCCTGGGGGACCCAGCTAGGAGAGATGGCTGGACTGGGCCTGGTTTTTATTGTAGCTGCTGGCACAGGTTCTCTAGAGAGGGAACACCTCTGATAGACCCTCAAGCTAGACCTATACTTAGTCCCTGGTCCTGGATCTGGGAAACATATTGACTCATGGTTACCTGTGCTGGATTCTGTAATAATGAGGTCTGTTGAGTGAAGTTTGTAGGCCTGACTTTTCACAGGTAGAGAACAGCAAGGAGAAAGTACAGTAGGAAATGGAGTGTATGGGTAGTGTAACTTTGTGGAGTGTTTGTCATAAACTCTTCAGGTCCTTCTCTTTGGGGGAGAACCTACTTCACCCTCATTGTGTGGGTCTTGGCAGGACTTGAGCTTGGTCTTCCACTTGGGAGGCTGCTGCTCCCACAAAATGATGACACAGGTGTGTGACCAGGACTTGACTAAGTGGATGCTCCTAACCAGGACCTTGATCTGGAGGTGGTAACACACAGGTAAAAGGACAGAGGTTCATTTGGCAGCAGCCATGGATTCAAGGGTCCTGGAGCCACTGTGGCAGGAGGGACCTGCAGGGGCTGTGTCTGCAGCAGATGTCTCCCCATTTTACTTGTGAAAACCTTGACTTCCCAGTATTTTTGTTTACTGTTTTTTTTTCTTTAAGGTACCCCATTTGTGCATAAATCAGCCAGTTGTGCTTTTTTGACTGCAGCCTAGGTCTCTGACCTGTGCACTAGGTGTGAACATTGACAACATCGGGAGAGCTCGAGGGACGAAGGCTGATAGTGAGAGAGACACTGGTCCAGGTGTCAGGAGTCCTGTCTCCATCCTTGCATTGCCTGGCAACTGCTGCAATGCAGGAGGTTTCTGGGCAACTGAGGGACATCCAGGAAGGCTCACAGGCCCTCAGTCTGCATGGGCACCAATGGGAACATTGCTGATTGCTGTTCATTCCAGGAGGGGCCGTGAAGATCACTACTTCAGTTGTCTCAAACCTCAGTTCTGAAACATCTCCATATCGAACAGTTATGTTCTCAGACAATTTGTTCACAGGAAAAATGACTCAGAGGTTGATCAACACTTCAGTTCTCAACCCAACAACTTTTTCATGTTGATACATGTATAATCAATTATGCACCTCAGTTAGGCACAATTTGGTTTTCAAACAAATCTCTTCTCAAATAGCCTTTAAGAACAAATTAAGCTCAAGAACCAAGGTTTCATTGTAAAAATTATTTCTATTTTTCAAGCCAAAGATACCACAGTGGTGTATACCATGTGACAGAATGTTGAAATATTTACCTCTGACCCCACCAAGCAGTGTAACTATCATTACCATATTTCCTTGTCACATGAGTCTTTCTCTGCAGCAGCACCTCTTCATGTTTCCATCACAGCAAGGAGCTTTGTCTCCAGTCTTCCCCACGCTGGTTTGAATGGTCACAAACCCCTGCAGACCTTTCTAAGCCCAGTAGCACATGATCCCTGCTAGCGATGCAGCATCCCTGGTTCACTGCTCCCTTCTTGTTTCAGCTCTGAGGTTCCTTCCACCTGAGTGCCATGATAAACAGTCCTGCAACGCACATGTTTCTGCAGAGAATCTGTCTATTTCACTGGGGTAGCACCTTGGAATCTGTAAGTCCCAAGGGATGAGAAAAGTGGTGAAAGAATGTGAACATTTCTATGAATTGCCATATTTTGCACAGTTGCTTCTCTAAGAGGTGGTGCACTTAGCACTGACGTGGTGACATTCAGTGGGTGAGGTCACCTTGCTCTCCTTAGAACAGGAATGTCCTTGGGTGTCAGATGAGGGAACTAAAACCTGTCATGTGCTTTTCCCAAGGTCATGAGCCAGCCAGAGCCCTAGGGTGGGAGTTCTGCACTCTGACCACAGTCCTTGCGGCCCTTGCAGACACTCTGTGCCTCGTTAATGTTGGCTGAATTCTAGAAGGTGCTGTGTGTGCATTCAGCTGGCCTTCTTGCTGTGATGACCAACTGTCCAGGTTGCCTGGGAGTGAGAGGGTTAAGAACTTTATGTAGGAGCTCACCAATGAAGGTAAGAAAGCACCCAGTGCCCAACTCCAAAGCCAGGCCACTCTTAGGCCCTAAGGTCTTCGTTTCCATGACAACAAGGAGCTTCAGCCCAGGCAGCAGGCAACAGGGAAACAGAAAAGTCTTGGTTTCCTGACTGGGCCTGGTTCAGTGAGCTACAGTGAGACTCTATGCATTCTCTGTGCAGTATCCCAAGGGAAAAGTCCTATCTGATTCCAGGGTGAGGTTCCAGATGTGACCCAGAGAGAGATGGTGGACACAGGCTTGGTGGCACACCCTGCAGTAGGTGTGGGTGGAGCTGTTCTTCCCAGTGGTCATATACCTGGATTAGAATCCCACCTGTAGTTAGGAATCTTCACTTCTCTGTGCTTCAATTCTTCATACATATATAATGGGGAAAGCCATAGTTCCTAGCTCACTGTGTCATTAGGAAAATGAAGATGATATGAATATACATGCACCTACTTTCCATGATATCAGACAAAGAGTGCTCAGTAATTGTCCACAGTTGTAATCATGAACCATGTCCCAGGACCCTCAAAGGGAAGTGCCACCACTTGGTGAATTCACTCAGTTCTGATGTGGCTTTCAGTCTCAAAACCTTAGGATAGATTCCTGGTGTTAGACAGTTTCCTCTTTCTTGTGCAAATCCTATTTTTCAGGTCAACCAGAGGGAAGCGTGAGACAGATGAGGGCAAGTCTAGGGTGTCCTCATTACAGGAAGGGGCCAGCTCACCCATACCCAAGACAATGGTGTGACTGGGGGGCTGGGTGCAGGGGCTGAGGCACATCTTGTCCTCTTAGGCCCTGTTGTTACATTCTCATTCCAGGCCTTAGACACATGATGTTTGTCCTCCTGCAACGCCTTAGTGTAGAGCAGGGAGTGGTGGTGTAGCCCCAAGCTTCCCAGGCCAAGGGCAGATCAAGTTCTCTCATTGGTGGTAACAGCCGAATCTATTGATTCCACTGGCCAAGCCCCTGTCTCCCTGAAAGAGCCCTTGGAGATGCCTGGGCCAAGGTCTCACTTTGCAAAAGGAGAAGGATGTTGGTTGTGGTGGCTTATTCATCAGTCTATAGATGGTCAGGTGGGAGGTAGTTAACCTGTCTCAGCTTGTTGTCAGAGCCCTCAGCACCTGCTCCTCAACTTCCCCATGTGAATGGGCCTCTACAGCCCCTGAGCTACCTTGCACCTCCCTCTCCACTGTTTTGCTCCCAAATCTTTTCCAGGTAACTTTCCCTAGTGACCCTATCTGTCAAACCAAGCATCGCTGGACCCCAAGTCTTTCCCCTTGGGACTGGTCTCTGTTTCTACTTCACCCATGTTCTTCTCCTGACGAGCTGCTTGAATTATTTACTAAATCTTGTGGAATAAGAGAGAAAGATGTCTCCATTTCCGTAACCCTCTTTGAGTCTGTCAAAGGAAGCCACAAGCTCCCTCCTCAGGACATTGCCAACTGAGGTCACTTCAAGCCCATTCTTACCACTGTCACCTGCCCTTCACATCCCCCACTACTTACCTTGGAGATCTATAAAGTGAGGGAGGTACACAGCTGCCACGGCTCCTGGTTCAGCCTTGATGTCAAGCAGAGGCCCTGCCACCATCCAGCTGTGCTGTGGGACAATCCGGCTCATGAACTCTTTCCAGGCACAGAATTCAATCTCAATGGTCACTGGCCTCCTCACCACAAAGTGGAGACCTGTGTTGGGCCAAGGGTAGGAGCCAGCCACAGGGAAGCAAACTCTGGGAGAACAGGGAGAGGTAGGCAGTGAATTACTCACTCTACACAACCTCACTGAGTACCTACTGAATGCCCAACCCCATGCATGGCCCTGTGTGTCCAGCAGGGTGGCTGCGAGCTCAGATATCATTGTCAGAGGGGTGTGGGTTTAAGTCCTGGCCCCTCTGCTCTGTACTGTGGATCCCTGAGCAAGTCACTGATATCCCTCATCTCAGTTTTCTAATGTGTAAGGGAAGTAAGAATAGCACCACCTCCTGGAGTTGTGAGTGATAAGTGACCTAATGTGTGCTGACAGCTCATAGAAGTGTGGGTGTGGTTAGCTGTTTCTATAATGATCATGAGATAATAATAATGTTAATAATAATAAAATAGAAAAGAGTTATTGTTTTAAGGGGTCCATTTCTCAATACTTAAAGCAATTTATATGGTGATATAAATGATAACCACTTGGAGCTTAAGGAAACACTACACAGAGATCGTACACTTTACCCAGGTTCCCTGTGGGTAAAAAGTGGGTCCCTGGGATGTTTAGCGTCTGTGTGTAAGTTGTCTCCCAGCTGAGATCATGCCTGTGACAGGGAATGGCACTGTGTGATGTAAGAGCTGGGGACTAAAATTATAGACGTTTATTACTTAGGACTGGGAACCCTTTGGAGGCAGGGCTGCCACATGCAGGTCAGGGCTCCTCATTTCTGGTATGGTCCTTTACAGAGGGGATATTTATAAAGCAGGAACATGTAGATGGAATGAGATTTGTGAGACATAGCAAACCAAATACAATGAAGGGACTTTGTCTGGATCCTGATTGGAAGAGACCACCTGCAAGGACACATCTTGGACAACTGAGCAGATCTGAATACAGACTGGGTGTTAGGTGACAGGGAAATAACTTATAAACATTGTTAGATATGATAGTGGTGTTGTGGTTATGGAAGAAAAGGCCTTTATGTGTATTTTTCAAAGTTCATCACAAAATATTTAAGGATAATCACTTAGATTTAAAATATTATAAAAACAAAATGCGGGGAAGTGAAGAGTTGAAACAAATATGGTAAAACAACTGTTAGACATGAGTAATTGGTAAGTGGAACTTCTTTAGACTCTATTTTTGTGTTTCTTTGTAACTTTTCATAATAAAACCTCTTTTTCTATAATAAAATCACCAACTTAGTATCTTAGCCCTGCCTCTGCCTGTTGGCTTGGCAATGGAGGAGACCCAGTGGCTGTGAATGGGGTGTGGAGAGTCTGTTGGGAATCTGTGTGGGGAAGGCGGGGCTTGAGGTAGACTGTCCTGGCAGAGCGAGTCCCCTCACTCACCGGTACAGACTCCTGCCTCTGTCAACCACCTCTGGAGTCACAGGCCCTGCGGGGCCCCAGAAGTCATCTTCAGACCCTAGAGGGAGAAGACAGACAGAAGGCTTCCACCTGCGCTATGTGAGGGTAGCTCTTCTCTGGAATAGTGGTGTGGTGGTCAGCTTTAGGTTCCCCTGTCTGGTTCCCCCACACCCTATGCTCCCTCATGGAAGGCCCTTCCCAAGGCCAGTCTGCCTGGACCTTGGCAGGCAGTGTGTCTGGAGCCTCTGTCCCTGCTCCTGGGGCAGCCTGCCTGCTGTGTGAGGAGGCCAACACTGCTGCCCCCTGACCACACCCTTCCACCTCCCCCTTCCCACTGGTCCAGAGGTATTGCTATTCCCAGCATCTATCAGGAACATAGCTTGTGAGAGGAACCTGGGTATAAAATGGATGGGCAGGAATGAAGAGGGGACTCTTAGGCCTCAGAAGCCCAGCGTGGGCCATGGGAGACTGGGCCCTGGTCAGAGTCTGAGACATGCCATTGATGCTTGGAGAGGAGGGGCCTCAGCCCCTGAGGCTGGGAGAGAGGGAAGCAGAGATCTTGTAAGGTTCTAGGTGCGAATGTTCTCGCCCTGGCTGTCTTAGGGGACATTTTGGCATGTCCCACACCAGAGGCAGGGGGATGTAGGGGATGACCTTCCACATCCCTGCACCCCTGTCCCAATTAATGATGCTGCCTCCCTGTCCCCTTCAAAGTACCTGATTCTGATCTGTGCCGTTTGAGTGGAGATGTGTCATCATCCATCTGTCCTTTACCCGGGGCCTCTTTAGGGAGACTCAGTCTTTTCCTCCTGGACACAGAGGGGTTCATACTCCTTGAAATCTCAGAAGAAGCTGCACCAGTGTACTGGGAATGATACAGAACGCTCTTGGGCTGATCCAGGTCCAGGACTCCTGTGGGTTTTTGTCTTCCTCCTGCTTTAGTCTGTCTCTGCCTCCAACCTCTCTGTATCCCTCCTGTGGTCCCTGTCTGTAGATCAACTTCAACCTGAGGCTTATTTTGCTTCAGGTCCCTCAGCATCTTTTTCACCTTGTTACTCAGCTGGGTCACATCCACGCTGTAAGCACAAAGGAAGGCTGGTTATCCTGGGACCCCACATGACCTCATGGTCCTCAGAGCCCAGAATCATGGCATCTTCTACCTCCCACAGGAACCAATTGTAGGTTGGAGTCCCTGAAATCATGTTCTGAGATTGAAAATAGCATTGGGAGGTTTATAAGATGTGCTTCTGGGTGAACCCCAGGGCAAAGGAAGGGAGGGAATAGGATTGGGCAGATGGACTGCCCTTGGGCATTACAGCCCAAGTTGGGCTGTGATGCAGTCTCCAGGGACATAGCTGACTCCATGGGACTTCTGATGTGGGGGTGACCCTCCAGAGCTGCTCCATACTGGGAGGAGGGGCTTGGTGTTTATATCCTAACAGTGGTCAGTCACTGGACACAGGCCATCCCAGGAACGGTGGTCCCAGATATTGTGGGGACTAAGATTTGCATTTTGAATAAGTTCGCAGGGATGCTTGTACTAACACATTACAGTAGCAGTGTTCCTAATCCCCGACCTCCTCTATTCCTCCAGGGAGCTCAGATCAGAGCCTCTACCTCTGCCTGGAACTGGCCCTCCTCTGACCAGCTAAGCCCTTCCATCTTTCAGAACTCAGCTCAGGCCCTTTGTGTGAGAGGCCCCAGTTGTGAGAGGCCATCCCTGTAGCTGGCTGCTGGCAGCACTCCCAGGGTCTGGGGTTCTGTCTTCATTCCTGGAAGGGAAGTGGGCAGCACTTCACAGCAGACCCTGGAGGACAGCCTGTCCCCATGGCCTCAAAATGACCACAGATGAGTAGGTCCTGGGATTTTCTTCTTAGAGGCTGTAAGGTTTTCTGGAAAGAGAGAGCCCTGTTCCTGTTCTCATGGGCCTTGTGTCTTGGGGTGTCTGTTGGATTTTGGAGTTGCTGTCCTCTTTGGGTTTCCATGTCCTCGTCTACAACAGGATGGCCCTGCTCTGCCTATTGTGAACCATGGAAATGAGCATAGAAGACCATGCTCCCTGTAAAGGGCACACACTATACTCATTACTGCTGTCAGAGCAGCTCTCCCCTGGGGAGGGCATGGGGCCATTATGTAGGAGGGACTCCCTGTCAGCAAAATCCTGGGGATCGAGGAAGGAAGGAGGGGACAGAAACCTTTGCAGGACATTCAAGAGCAAGCTGCTCTGAGGCCACCAAGAGGTGACCAGTAACTGATGAGTGGGGCAATAACGCAGATGTACAGTCAGACCCCACTCTGGAGAGGCCCTTCAACATACAGGGCTTCTGGCAGCCACAGGTGCCCAGTGGATAGGGGCTGGGGTGTGAAGGTGCCAGCCCCTTGGACTGGAGCTCCCTTGGGTGTGAAGGGTCAGAGCTGGCTTTGGGGACCTACATGTAGAGTATTTAACCCCTGCTATCCTGCCCTTGCTGCTGCTCTGAGTTGGAGAAAAGGGGGTCCTGTTGGAGGAGGAAAGGCTGTGGGCTCAAGCTTTCCTGTCCCCTCTGAGAACCAGCAACTGGAGCCTCAGCCAAGACCTCAGGGTCAGGATGTGAGGTCTGGAGCCCTGGCAGCTCTGAGAGTGTGTGACGGGGCCCCAGCCAGAGCTGCAGGGAAATGTTGCCAGAAACAGCCTGTGGGTTTGTTTTCAGACTGCAGAGGAGAGAGGAAGAGGCCTAGAGGCAGTGTGAGATTAAGGGTCCCTGTACTGCAGCCACACATGGCTCCAGGGCTTTGAGCCTGTGCCTCTCCTGGGGTCTCCCCAGTGCTCTGCTCTTCACCTGGACTGTGACCCCTGCCTGGGCCTGGTCAACTGCTCTTTCTGCTTCAGATCTGGGCCTGATTTTATTCCACAGAAAGCCCTCCCTACCCCTCTGTCTAATTCCATCTCTCCCCATGTTACATTCCCATAACATAGTGCACTACTCCTACCCAATCTCCACAGAGCTTAGAAATACACACTGGGTGTAAATATGCGTGGTTATCACTACCTGATTCACACCGGAGTTTGAGATTTAGGAGGGCAGTGCCTGTCTCTGTACCTTGGCAAGTGGTGGTCATGCAGTGAATGAATGAATGATGATGAATGATGATGAGTGAGGCAATGAAGGAAGGAAGGGAAAACTGCCTTGGAGTGAGGAAGTGAACCTGGGAGTCCCCAAGAACATGTGGCCTCACTAGTGGTTACCATCTGATCCTCTCAAGTCTGCTCCCAGGACTGTCCTGTGTTACATGCATTTTATTTCATCACAGTCTATGAGGTGGATATGACAGTTCCAATAGACAGATGAGAAAACCGAGTCTCAGTGGACACCTGCCCACATCCCTGGGCCTAAGTAAATAGGGGAGCTGGTAGGGAAGGCAGGCTGACAATTCATTATTCTGCTGTCCATTTCAGGGCCCTCCTCTCCTTTCCATTCTTTGCTCTCCTTCCCACCATCTTCCCTGCAGGGACCCACAGTGCCTTACCGCAGGAGCCTGAGTTGGCAGGTGGGCTGCCCAAGCCCTTTACACAGCAGCCTCATGCCAAGGTCACCCAGGTTGTTCTTCCTCAGGTCCAGCTCTGTCAGGCTGGGGCTGGGGCTGTCACTGAGCATGGAGGCCAGGTCCTGGCAGCAGCCAGATGTGAGGCCACATCTGATCAGCCTGTGGGAGAGATTTGCACAGGCCCATCATCATTGTTCACCAGACCCCCCCTCCTCGGGGTAACTGGGGGTCTAGTTTCCATTTCTAGTACCTGTGTCCCTGTGGAGGTCCTTGGTGACATCAAAGGAAGACAAAGACATGCCTGGCTGTAGTAACCTGGGTGATTTTAACTCTCTCCTGCATGTAGCTAAGGAGCCACTGAGAATGCAGCTAGTCACTGTTTCTCATTCCTGTATGAGTCTCACTACCTTGCTAATCTCTATATGAACTTGGTATATGGTTAATTTACCCAACATTCCACTTGTACACTGGGTCTAACTGTAACTGCATCAGCCAGCCAGGCTCCCACTTAGCTGACATGGGTTGCTTTGGTGCATTTCAACATGAGGGCATCTACCTGCCCACCATCCCATCACCCCATCCAGCCTAGCTCTCATTTTCTGTCTTCCCCATCCTTCCAAGTAGTGTCAATGAGGAGCAATTACAGCAATCGCTGCAGCTTGCAGGTGGACACTCTCAGCTTCCTGAAGAGGTGCTGGGCTCCGATGTCCAGCAGCTCATTGAAGCTCAGGTCCAGCTCAGTCAGGTTCCTGTTGGTGCTCAGCCCACAGGCCAGGTCCTGGCAGCCCTTTGCTGTGAGGCCACAGTCAGCCAGCCTGTGGGAGACGTGCACAGACAGCCTTGAGTTTACTCACCTGCTGATTGTATAGTACACATACCCAGTAGCACCCATGGGCACCTCTCTGGGTCAGGCAGAGGTATGTGAGACCCACAAACCCCAGAAATGCACAGGTACTGGGGGATGACATAGAAATGAAGAACAGTAGGTTAGTTTAGGTTTGTTTTGATCAAAGCCTTCCATGTTTCAATGTCTTTGGAGTTAAACTCAAGGTCCTGGTGTTTGACTGTGGGACACTGGAGATTTGGTTTCATGTCATCTCTGTGCTCATCTTGTATCCTTCTTTATCTGCATCCTCACTGAGCTCCTTGCAGTTCCTTAAACACTCCAGGCACAGTCTCATCTGAGGGCCTTTGCACCTGCTGTTTCCTCTGACAGGGACAATGTTCTCACCTGATACCTCAGGGTGTGTTCTCTCATCTGGTTCAGGAATTTGGTCAAAAGTTCCCCTGGGGAAATCTTGCCTCTTGACCCTTCCTGTTTAAAATTGCAGCTGCAGCCTCAGCCCCCATTCCTTTCTGCTTTACTTTCCTCCATAGCTCAAATCACATGAAATATATTTTACATATTTATTTGCTCTTTGTTTGTTCTCATGAATGGATGTTCCATGAGGAAGGAGTTTACATTTCCATTGAACCCTAGCACCTAGTGCTGTGTCTCACACATAGTAGGAACTTATAAGTATGTGTTCAATGAATGAATGAAATAGAGTGAAGAGGGGCATGATGGGTGAAGCTGAAGGCAGAGGTATGGAGGGTGAATTTTGACCAGGCAGGGAAGGAGCAGACATATGAGGGGTGCCTTGAAAGGTAGGTAGGAGTTCACCTAGATGAGGTGGAAGGAGGGGAGTCTCCTGGCTGGTGGAGTGGAATGAGCTTACAGAACATATTTAGTGATGTTGAGAGACAGGCTACCAGAGGGGAGAAGTTTGAGGGTAAAGATAGAAAATAACTAGATAGTGGTATACCTTGAAAGTGCTTATTAGATATTTGGACCTTGTTCTAGTGGCAATGTGGAGCCAGTAAATATTCCTGAGCTGGGGGTAGTCATGTGTTATTTGCATTGCTTGGTACATGGGAAGTATGGAATGAATGAATGAATGAATGAATGAGGCAGTGAAGAAAGGGAGGACAGCCCTGGAGTGAGGAAGTGAACCTGGGAGTCCCCAAGAACATGTGGCCTCACTAGTGGTTATCATCTGATTCTCTCAACTGTGTTCTAAGAACTGTTCTTGTGTTACTTTCATTTTATTTCATCACAGTCTATGAGGTGGATATGACAGTTCCAATAGACAGATGAGAAAACTGAGTCTTATCTGAAGACCTGCCTGCATCTCTGAGCCCAGGTAAGTGGAGGGGCTGGTAAGGCAAGCAGTCAAGTATTCATTTGCTGTCCCTTTATTCCCTCTGTCTCAGGGCCCCACACCTTGTCTAATCTTTGCTCTCCTTCCCACCCTCTGCCCTGCAGGGACCCAAGTGCCTTACCGCAGGAGCCTGAATTGGCAGGTGCGCTGCCCAAGCCCTTTACAGAGCTGCTTCATGCCATAGTCACCCAGGTCATTCTTCCTCAGGTCCAGCTCTGTCAGGCTGGGGCTGTCACTAAGCATGGAGGCCAGGTCCTGGCAGCAGCCAGATGTGAGGCCACACCTGATCAGCCTGTGGGAGAGATTTGCACAGGCCCATCATCATTGTTCACAAGGCCCTCTTCTTGGTGTACCAGGGGTCTGGTTTCCTTTTCTGTACTGTGTCCCTGTGGGGGTCCTTGGTGACATCAAAGGAAGACAAAGACGTGTCTGGCTCAGTAACTTGGGAGACTTTAACTTTTTCTTGCAGCTAATGAGCCATTAAGGATGCAGCTAGTGACTGTTTCTGACTCCTGGGTGACACTCACCAACTTCACTACTCTCCATATCAACTTGGTGCATTTAATTTGCCCAATGTTCCACTTGTATACTGAATTTAACTGTTAATTCATCAGCCAGCCAAATGTCCACTTAGCTGACATGGGATGCTTGGTGAGTTTCAACTTCAGGGTATCTACTTCCTCCTCACCCCATCATCCCATCCTGCCTAGCTCTCACTTTCTGCCCCAACCTTCTAAGAGTGTGAATGAAGAGCAATTACAGCAGTCGCTGCAGCTTGCAAGTGGACACTCTTAGTTTCTGGAAAAGGTGCTGGGCTCCGGTGTCTTGGAGCTTGTTGAAGCTCAGGTCCAGCTCCCTCAGGTTCCTGTTGGTACTCAACCCACAGGACATGTCCTGGTACACTTCTGCAGTGAGGTGGTGGTCAGCCAACCTGTGGGAGACATGCACAGATAGCTTTAACTTTATTTACCTAATGATTCTACAGTACAAACACCGACTAGCACCCACTGACACCACTCTGGGTCAGGCAGAGGTATGTGAGACCCACAAACCCCAGAAATGCACAGGTACTGGGGGATGACATAGAAATGAAGAACAGTAGGTTAGTTTAGGTTTGTTTTGATCAAAGCCTTCCATGTTTCAATGTCTTTGGAATTAAATTCAAGGTCCTGGTGTTTGACTGTGGGACACTGGAGATTTGGTTTCATGTCATCTCTGTGCTCATCTTGTATCCTTCTTTATCTGCATCCTCACTGAGCTCCTTGCAGTTCCTTAAACACTCCAGGCACAGTCTCATCTGAGGGCCTTTGCACCTGCTGTTTCCTCTGACAGGGACAATGTTCTCACCTGATACCTCAGGGTGTGTTCTCTCATCTGGTTCAGGAATTTGGTCAAAAGTTCCCCTGGGGAAATCTTGCCTCTTGACCCTTCCTGTTTAAAATTGCAGCTGCAGCCTCAGCCCCCCCATTCCTTTCTGCTTTACTTTCCTCCATAGCTCAAATCACGTGAAATATATTTTACATATTTATTTGCTCTTTGTTTGTTCTCATGAATGGATGTTCCATGAGGAAGGAGTTTACATTTCCATTGAACCCTAGCACCTAGTGCTGTGTCTCACACATAGTAGGAACTTATAAGTATGTGTTCAATGAATGAATGAAATAGAGTGAAGAGGGGCATGATGGGTGAAGCTGAAGGCAGAGGTATGGAGGGTGAATTTTGACCAGGCAGGGAAGGAGCAGACATATGAGGTGTCTTGAAAGGTGGGTAAGAGTACACCTAGATGAGGTGGAAGGACAGGAGTCATCTCTCTGGAGAGTGGATGTGAGCTTACAGAACATGTTTAGTGACGTTGAGAGACAGGCTACCAGAGGGGAGAAGTTTGAGGGTAAAGATAGAAAATAACTAGATAGTGGTATACCTTGAAAGTGCTTATTAGATATTTCAACCTTGTTCTGGTGGTAATGAGGAGCCAGTAAATATTCCTGAGCTGGGGGTAGTCATGTGTTATTTGCATTGCTTGGCATGAGAGGTATGGAATGAATGAATGAATGATGATGAATGATGATGAGTGAGGCAATGAAGGAAGGAAGGGAAAACTGCCTTGGAGTGAGGAAGTGAACCTGGGAGTCCCCAAGAACATGTGGCCTCACTAGTGGTTACCATCTGATCCTCTCAAGTCTGCTCCCAGGACTGTCCTGTGTTACATGCATTTTATTTCATCACAGTCTATGAGGTGGATATGACAGTTCCAATAGACAGATGAGAAAACCGAGTCTCAGTGGACACCTGCCCACATCCCTGGGCCTAAGTAAATAGGGGAGCTGGTAGGGAAGGCAGGCTGACAATTCATTATTCTGCTGTCCATTTCAGGGCCCTCCTCTCCTTTCCATTCTTTGCTCTCCTTCCCACCATCTTCCCTGCAGGGACCCACAGTGCCTTACCGCAGGAGCCTGAGTTGGCAGGTGGGCTGCCCAAGCCCTTTACACAGCAGCCTCATGCCAAGGTCACCCAGGTTGTTCTTCCTCAGGTCCAGCTCTGTCAGGCTGGGGGCTGGGGGCTGTCACTGAGCATGGAGGCCAGGTCCTGGCAGCAGCCAGATGTGAGGCCACATCTGATCAGCCTGTGGGAGAGATTTGCACAGGCCCATCATCATTGTTCACCAGACCCCCCCTCCTCGGGGTAACTGGGGTCTAGTTTCCATTTCTAGTACCTGTGTCCCTGTGGAGGTCCTTGGTGACATCAAAGGAAGACAAAGACATGCCTGGCTGTAGTAACCTGGGTGATTTTAACTCTCTCCTGCATGTAGCTAAGGAGCCACTGAGAATGCAGCTAGTCACTGTTTCTCATTCCTGTATGAGTCTCACTACCTTGCTAATCTCTATATGAACTTGGTATATGGTTAATTTACCCAACATTCCACTTGTACACTGGGTCTAACTGTAACTGCATCAGCCAGCCAGGCTCCCACTTAGCTGACATGGGTTGCTTTGGTGCATTTCAACATGAGGGCATCTACCTGCCCACCATCCCATCACCCCCATCCAGCCTAGCTCTCATTTTCTGTCTTCCCCATCCTTCCAAGTAGTGTCAATGAGGAGCAATTACAGCAATCGCTGCAGCTTGCAGGTGGACACTCTCAGCTTCCTGAAGAGGTGCTGGGCTCCGATGTCCAGCAGCTCATTGAAGCTCAGGTCCAGCTCAGTCAGGTTCCTGTTGTTGCTCAGCCCACAGGCCAGGTCCTGGCAGCCCTTTGCTGTGAGGCCACAGTCAGCCAGCCTGTAGGAGACGTGCACAGACAGCCTTGAGTTTACTCACCTGCTGATTGTATAGTACACATACCCAGTAGCACCCACGGGCACCTCTCTGGGTCAGGCAGAGGTATGTGAGACCCACAAACCCCAGAAATGCACAGGTACTGGGGGATGACATAGAAATGAAGAGCAGTAGGTTAGTTTAGGTTTGTTTTGATCAAAGCCTTCCATGTTTCAATGTCTTTGGAGTTAAATTCAAGGTCCTGGTGTTTGACTGTGGGACACTGGAGATTTGGTTTCATGTCATCTCTGTGCTCATCTTGTATCCTTCTTTATCTGCATCCTCACTGAGCTCCTTGCAGTTCCTTAAACACTCCAGGCACAGTCTCATCTGAGGGCCTTTGCACCTGCTGTTTCCTCTGACAGGGACAATGTTCTCACCTGATACCTCAGGGTGTGTTCTCTCATCTGGTTCAGGAATTTGGTCAAAAGTTCCCCTGGGGAAATCTTGCCTCTTGACCCTTCCTGTTTAAAATTGCAGCTGCAGCCTCAGCCCCCATTCCTTTCTGCTTTACTTTCCTCCATAGCTCAAATCACGTGAAATATATTTTACATATTTATTTGCTCTTTGTTTGTTCTCATGAATGGATGTTCCATGAGGAAGGAGTTTACATTTCCATTGAACCCTAGCACCTAGTGCTGTGACTCACACATAGTAGGAACTTATAAGTATGTGTTCAATGAATGAATGAAATAGAGTGAAGAGGGGGCATGATGGGTGAAGCTGAAGGCAGAGGTATGGAGGGTGAATTTTGACCAGGCAGGGAAGGAGCAGACATATGAGGGGTGCCTTGAAAGGTAGGTAGGAGTTCACCTAGATGAGGTGGAAGGACGGGAGTCATCTGGCTGGCAGAGTGGGTGTCAGCCTATAGCACATAATATTTAATGAACTTGAGAGAAGGGCCATCTGAGGGTTGATACAGTTTGACGGTAAAGATAGAAAATATCAAGTTGGCGGTAAGTGTTGAATGTGCTTATTAGATATTTGGACCTTGTTCTTGTGCAATGAGGAGCCAGTAAAATTTCTTGAGGTGGGTAGTCATGTGTCTTTTGCATGGCTGGCACATGGAGGTATGGAATGAATGAATGATGATAAATGAGGCAGTGAGGAAGGGAGGAGTACCCTGGTGTGAAGTGAACTTGGGAGTCCCCTAGGACATGTGGCCTCACTGCTGGTTATCATTTGATCCTCTCAAGTCTGCTCCCAGGACTGTCCTGCTTTTACATGCATTGTATTTCATCACTGTATAGATAGATATGAGGTTCCATTATACAGATGAAGAAACTGGTCTCAGGTGTAGACCTGCTCACGTCTCTTGGCCCTTGTAAGTGGCAGAAGTCTAGGGATGGCAGGCTGACAATCCATTTTTCTGTCCCTTTACCTCTCCTGTCCAATTCAGGGCTCACACCCCTTTTTATTCCTCCATGTTCTCGTACCTGCCCTCTGCCCTACAGGGACCTACAGGGCCTTACCTCAGCAGCCTGAGGTGGCAGGTGCGCTGCCCAAGCTTTTTACAGAGCTGCTTCATGCCCAGGTCACCCAGGTCGTTCTGCTGCAGGTCCAGCTCTGTCAGGCTGGGGCTGTCACTGAGCATGGAGGCCAGGTCCTGGCAGCAGCCAGATGTGAGGCCACATCTGATCAGCCTGTGGGAGAGATTTGCACAGGCTCATCATCATTATTCACAAGGTCCCTCCTTGGGGTAACTGGGGTCTGGTTTCCCTTTCTGTACTGTATCCCTGTGGGGGTCCTTGGTGACCTCAAAGGAAGACAAAGACGTGTCTGGCTGCAGTAACTTGGGAGACTTTAACTTCCTCCTGCAGCTAAGGAACCACTAAGGATGCAGCTAGTCATGTTTTCTCACTCCTCTGTGACACTCACCAACCTTTCTACTTCCCATATCAACGTGGTACAATTACCCAATATTCCAGTTACACAATAGGTCTAATTGTTAACTTAGGCTGCCATTTGCCCCCTTAGCTGACACTGGATGCTTTCAGCACAAGGGCATCTACCTGCTCTCCAGCCTATCACTCCATCCTGCCTAGCTCTCACTTTCTCTGTGTCCCATCCTTCCAAGAAGCATCAATGAGGAGTAATTACAGCAGGTGCTGCAGTTTGGCAGTGGACACTCTCAGCCTCTGGAAAATGTGCTGGGCCCCAGTGTCCAGAATCTTGTTGAAGCTCAGGTCCAACTCAGTCAGGCTCCTGTTGGCACTCAGCCCACAGGCCAGTTCCTGGCAGCTCTCTGCTGTGAGGCCGCAGTTAGCCAACCTGTGGGAAACATGCACCAAAAGCATTGAGTTTATTCACCTGTTGATTCCACTAGCACCCGCTGGCACCTCTCTGAGTCAAGCAGAGTTAAGCAAGATGCCCAAACCCATAGAAATCACATGTACTGGGCAATGACATAGACACAAAAAAAACACTAAGTCAGTTCTCAGGTCCGTTTTGATCAAAAGCCTGTCATGTTTCCATGTCTTTGGAGTTAGACTCAAGATCTTGCTTGGTCTTTGACTGTGGGACACTGGAGATTTGGTTTCATGTCATCTCTGTGCTCATCTTGTATCCTTCTTTATCTGCATCCTCACTGAGCTCCTTGCAGTTCCTTAAACACTCCAGGCACAGTCTCATCTGAGGGCCTTTGCACCTGCTGTTTCCTCTGACAGGGACAATGTTCTCACCTGATACCTCAGGGTGTGTTCTCTCATCTGGTTCAGGAATTTGGTCAAAAGTTCCCCTGGGGAAATCTTGCCTCTTGACCCTTCCTGTTTAAAATTGCAGCTGCAGCCTCAGCCCCCATTCCTTTCTGCTTTACTTTCCTCTATAGCTCAAATCACATGCAATATATTTTACATACTTATTTGCTTTTTGGTTTTTCCTCACAAATGTATGTTCTATGAGAAATGAGTTTCATTTTAGTTGTACCCCAGTGCCTTTAGCAGTCCTACACATAGCACAACTTAGTAACTATGTGGAGAATGAGTGAATGAAATGGAGTGAAGTAGGGCATGTGGAATGCATTTGAAGGAAGGGAGTAAGGGGTTAATTTTGACCAGGGAAGGAGGAGCAGACATATGAAAAGTGCCTTGAATGGTGGGAAGGAGTTCATCTAGATGAGGTGGAGGGAGGGGAGTCTCCTGGCTGACAGGGTGGATGTGAACTTATAGCATGTGTTTAGTGATTTGTCAGAAAGGCTTCCTGAGGGGAGATGAAGTTTAAGGGTAGAGAGAGAAAATATCAAGATGGTGGTAGGTCTGGAATGTGCTTATTAGATATGTGGACCTTGTTCAGGTGGCAGTGATGAGCCAGTGAAAGTTCTTGAGGAGGGGTAGTCCTTGCATTGCTTGGGAATGATCCCTGATGGTGAGTGGAGGATGGTTGGATGGGGTCAAGAAGGAAGCAGGTGGTCCAGGTGGGAGAGGATGAGCACTGGGGACAGAGCAGTGCCTGTGGGACACATTCCTGTGGCCCCAACAGCACTTGGTGCCCCTGTAGATGTGGGGCAGGAGGCTTCTGGAGTGGATACGGAGCTGGTACTGCCACCACGTACCTCGAGAATCAGTGTGAGAGGAGGCAGCATCAGCCTCACGGATGTACAGCCTGTGAAGTTGTTGGGGTTTGTTGCTCTGTGGTTGTCATCTTGAGTTCCTTAATAATTTTATCTGCTAATTTGTGTTTTGTAAGTGAATTCTGGTGGGACAATGGAGCTTTGGGTCACATGTGTCCTCATCTCCTGCCACTTCCCCCTTCTGTAGGAAGAGTTCTTGGCCACCCACTTCCTTGTCCCTTGATATTGTGGGGCCCCGGATAGCTTTTCCATCAGGCAGAGTGAGGATCAGGGCTGGCTTTGAAGTGAGGCTTGGTGAGAATTGCATAGCATGATTTAGAGATTTTGGGGGGCAAGTCTTTTGCCCACTGTGATTCATATATTCAGTGCATCATGGAAATACCCTGGGAGGTGATGAGTTTCCCATGTGCCTTAAGTTTGAATGGTGTCTCTGACAGTCTTCTCTGTACTGTGGTTTGGGGTGATGGGACCATGGGACCATGGGAGGAGGAGATGTCTAGGGCATGGTGGATGGGCCTGGTGCCTTGTAGGAGGAGAAGCCTGGCATGTGTTAAGCTGTGCTCATAATGACTTGTGGGTAGGGCCCTCAGGCACCTGAGAGGGTCTGCATGCACCTGCAGCATGACAAAGGAATAGCAATTTTAAATAGCAATTAAAAAATAGTTTGTGGCCAAGATGGAGATATAGGTAGATACACTTTGTCTCATCCCACAACCAAAAGAAGGACAACAACAAATTTAAGAAAGAAAGAAAACAACAACAACAACAACAACAACCAGAACTGCCAGAAAATCAAACTGTATGGAAGTCTGACAACCAAGGAGTTAAAGAAGAAACATTCATCCAGACTGGTAGGAGGGGTGGAGATGAGCAGCCTGGGCAGAAAGGATGTGTGACAAAGTGGCAGCTGGTAGGCCAGGAGGTCCCACATTTGTGTGTGGATAAACCGGGAGGAACAACTGGGTAGCAAGACAGACCATGCAACCCAGGATTCCTGTGCAGGGAAATAAAGCCTCTAAACCTCTGGCTGTAAAAATATGTGGGTGTTGAGGCGATGAAAGGAGCTCCCAGCCTCATAGGAGAGTTCATTGGAGAGACCCACAGGGTCCTAGAAGTACACAATCCCACCCACCTGGGAATCAGCATCAGATGGGCCCAATTTGCTTGTGGGAAGCAGGGGAAGTGACTGAAAGCTGGCAGAGAGCCAAGTAAGCAGTATTGCTCCCTCTCTGACCCTTCCTCCACATATAGTGCCACAGAGCAGGACATGGGTGTTGGGAACCGCCCTGACTGGTATCAGAGGCTGAAACCCTCGCCTAGCTAAGGCTAAGGGAATGCCCTTGGAACCGTGAGCCGGCAAGGAGATAAAAGCTTATCTTCCTGGCAGGAATGCTGCTTCTGCTGCTGAACCCCAAAAAGCTTGGTCGGTTAGCCAAAGACGGGTAAGATTCCCCACGGGGGGAACGACCTAAGCCAGGCATGATCACTTTGGGAGGCCCCCCAAAAGAAGGACTTGGGGGGCTGCAGCAAAAGGGGGTGATGGACCCTCACTCCTCGGCTTTGACAAAGTCTGAGTTCTCAGTGTCTGGAAGAAAATCTTATCTCTCGGTGGCCTTAGTTCCCGTGCTCCACCTAAGCCTGAAACAATGACAGGGTAGTACAGCTCGGTACTGGGAAGTGCGGATTTCCTGGGGTGATCAGGCCTAAGAAAGAACATGTAAATTACTGTGAAACCTTCTTTGTTTAGAATGCTCTCAGTTGAATGAGAAGGGTCTTAGGAGGAAGCTAGTTTGTTCCTCAGCCTTACAGCTCTTTGACCCCCAACTCAATAGACGGGCAGAGTTCTTTGTTTTCTATAGTTCCTTACTTCCCCTAATGAGTATTGTACTTTACCTGAGTTATTATGTAGCATGAGCCCAATAAAAGCAGGTATGGACTGTAAATTGGCACGCTCCTCACTAGAAGGGGTGGCCATTTCGTCCCTACTTCTCCACAGAAACTAGTTTGTCTCTGTGCATGTTTTTTCTCGCGTGTTTATCGTCGAGCCATCCACAGCGTTCCGTGGTCACTGCTGGCCGGTGACCCACGCGCAACACATGGGTTGCCCTGCCCTGTCAAATACCTAAGGCTCCGCCCCTTACAAGGTAATAGGCATGCTGAGACAAAAAAATATGGCCCAAATGAAAGAACAGATCAAAGTTCCAGAAATAGAACTAAGTAATGAAGAGATAGCCAACCTATCAGATGCACAGTTCAAATCACTGGTAATTAGGATGCTCACAGAAATGGTTGAGTATGATCGCAAAATAGAGAAAAGAGTGAAGGCTATGAAAAGTGAAATAAAGAAAAATATACAGGGAACCAACAGTGAAGGGAAGGAAAGTCAGACTCAAATCAATTATTTGGAGCAGAAGGAAGAAATAAACATTCAACCAGAACAGAATGAAGAAACAAAAATAAAAAAAAAATTGAGGAGAGACTTAGGAACCTCCAGGACAACTTTAAATGTTTCAACATCTGAATCATAGGTGTGCCATAAGGAGAAGACGAAGAGCAAGAAATGGAAAACTTATTTGAAAAAATAATGAAGGAGAACTTCCCCAAGCTGGTAAAGGAAATAGACTTCCAGGAAGTCCAGGAAGCTCAGAGAGTCCCAGAGGAGTTGGACCCAAGGAAGCACACACCAAGGTGCATCATAATTACATTACCCAATATTAAAGATAAGCAAGCAAGAAGGAGACAGTTACCTACAAAGGATTTCCCATAAGACTATCAGCTGATTTCTCAAAAGAAATCTTACAGGCAAGAAGGGGCTGGAGAAATATTCAAATTCATGAAAGGCAAGGACCTACATTGAAGATTACTCTATCCAGCAAAGTTATCATTTAGAATGGAAGGGCAGATAAAGTGCTTCCCAGATAAGGTCAAGTTAAAAGAGTTCATCATCACCCAGCCCTTAGTATATGAAACATTAAAGGGATTTGTTTAAAAAAAGAAGATAAAAACAATGAATAGTAAAATGACAACAAATGCATAGCATTCAACAACTGAAGCTAAAAAAACAAAAACAAAAACTAAGCAAAGAACTAGAACAAGAACAGGATCATAGAAATGGCGATCACATGGAAGGTTATCAGTGGGGAGTGGAAGGGGTGAATGCAGGAAAAGGTACAGGGAATGAGAAGTATAAATGATAGGTACAAAATAGACAGGGGAAGGTTCAGAGTAGTATAGAAAATGGAGAAGCCAAAGAACTTATATTTACGACCTGTGGACATGAGCTAAGTGGGTGGGATGCTGGTAGGAGGGTGTGCAAGGCAAAGGGAAATAAAGGGAAGAACAAAAAGGGACAACTGTATTAGCATAATCAATAAAATATATTAAAAAACACTTCATGATGTAGCGAGAGTCTGGGGTGGAAGGAATAAAGCTCTGTACGTTAGTACTTTTAATGGCACATTGTTTCTGATGTTTGAACAAGGGCATTGAATGCTCATTTTGTACTGGATCCTAGGATTATCTAGCTGGTTCTTAGAAGAGAAACAGGTTTTCTGTCAAATGGAGGCAAGTCTAGTTTAGAATACACTGATTTGGAGGAGTTTCTGAGAAATCCTGGAGCAGAGTGTTAGGTTGGGGTCCTGAGCTGAAGATGGAGACTTGGCAGGTTCCAACTGGATGGGACATGGGATGCGATTGTGGAAAG